ATTCCAATGCCAGTGTTCTGGCACAGTGTGTTGATAGAATATTTAATAAAATAATTATTACAGTATTTTCCAAAGGAAATTTTACATAACCATGACAAATACCATGATACTTAATTGTGCATATTGAGTACAAATAATTATTTTGAAAGGTGTATCTGACTGCCTGGGTCTGTATTCTTCTAGCCCCACTAGTGGTGTGATTGATGTTAGTCAAGTCTCAAACACTAAAACTGTTTCTTCATCTATAAAATGGAACAGATCAGAGTACTTTGTTATATGTATATGTTTAAATGTGACATCTCTTTAAAGCCTGGTACGTGGCCACTTCTCAGTAAATGTTAACTGCTGCTGTTACTGATTTAGAATAATTTCTAGTTTTTTCATCTTCCTTTAAGTTCTAATAAAATTCAGCATTGAGAACAACTGGCAGTAAAAGTAATGGATTTAAAGACAGATTTGTAAACACAAAAATATTTTAGAAGGAATGTGTTTGTGTGTTTAGAATTAAGGAAATATTTTCCATTGTTTTTCATATTAAAAACTGATGGATACAGTTGTTTTTAGACTGTATTCAGAAGTTACAACTTCTAAGTTCTAAGGAGTTTTTCCCCTAGTGCTCATCTGTAGGCAAATTTGAGGGAATCTAAATTGTCAGACTCAGGGAAACAGGGTTGTTTTGTATTTTTAAAAGTTTTTTTTGTATATAAATAGAATAATCTTTGACCATAATAAAAATAAGCCCAGAAGTTACAATTTTTCTGTTTAAAAGCCACAACCTAAAAAGATTGTAGGATTATGGATTTCTGTTTGTACACTTTAATTTAGTCATAGTCTGCTTGCCTTTGGTCTATAGAAGTGTCTTTTTGTTAAAAGCAAGCCCATATATATATGTAGCACAATGTTTTCTATGTGTTTTGATGCAATACTAGAGATTTAGGAGATATTTTTAGATGGTATTCAGGTGACCATTTAAATTGTGATAGTTAGGAATTTTAATGCTATTAGGAAAATGTATACTCTAATATATCAAATTGGTGATTTCACAAGTCTTAATAGTTTGGGATAAATAAAATGTTTCTGAAAAAGTGAGCTGAGATTCTGATATATGCTGCAACGTGTATGAACCTTGAGACCATTATGTAAAGTGAAATAAGCCAGACACAAAAGGATGTTTATTCTACAATTTCACTTGCAAGATCCCTAAAAGAGTCAAATTCATAGACCCAGAAAGTAAAACAGAGGTTTCCAGGAGGTGGAGGGAGGGAGGAATAGACAGTTATTCTAGGTACAGACTTTCTGTTTGGTGTGATGAAAAAGTTCTGGAAATGGGTGGGGTGATGGTGAATGTACTTACTGCCACTGAATTTTACACTTAAAAATGGTTAAAATGGTAAATTTTGTTCTGTATATTTTACCACAGTTATAAAAAGGGGTACAGGAATGGGATGAGAGGAGCATATGTATAGTTTTTTTAAAAAGTGAAATCAGAAAAATAAATAGCGGAATAGGCACTGGATGCTTGGAAAAATGTTGCTGGTGGGATGCAAATTATTGATGTTTGGGTAACACTGGGATAGAGGAAAGATTAGTGGACTAGGAGATCTGGCCTGTGTCCCCATCTCACCCCTGCCATGAGCTGGCAGGGTGGGCCTCCACATGACTCTTATCCAAGGCATATGAGATGAGAGGCCAAGACTGCTAAGACAACTTGCTTTCCTAGTCTGTGTTATGCCGTTGGGTTCTTTAAGCAGATGACCTAGTTTGCTTATGTAATATAATTTTCTCCTTTTCAATAATAAAAGTAAGTAAAGAAAGTGCATCTTTAGACACAAAACATAACATTAGAGTTTAAAATCTTTTAAGAATCATGATACCATAGTAGATGAAAAGGAAAAAAGTTCATAAACTTGCTGTTCTAATTATTTTATTGATATGCCCATTTTGTATTATTTACTTAGACTGCCATATTATTTTTTATGTGGTTGTTAGTTAGCTATACTTTTATAGACAGAGTTTTTGGCAGCAGTCTTAAAATATTAGTTTACATTTCATCCTTTAGGTTATAATTACTCTTAGCAAATGAAACTTTTAAATGTGTTTCATACATATCCTGTTTGGGTGGCTAATATTCGAGTGAATCGTTTCAATGGGTTTAGGGGAAATACGATGACATTATTCTCCTTGTGCTTCATTCTAGTCAGTGATATGGCATATTAAGTGTCTCTTTGTGCTTTCCTCGAACATTTGTGTGTCTTTGACCCAAACATCTGGATATTTGATGCCTGAAGTCTGATCTGTGGGGGAGAAAAACCAGTCAATGCCGTCTCCCAACTGTCGTCTCAGCTGTGCTTCTTCCGTCCAGCACTGACCATTTGTTTTGTGTTTGGAGTTAAATCTGAAATGGTAGCCCAGCTGCAGTGGCTCATGCCTGTAATCCCAGCACTTGGGGAGACTGAGGCAAGCAGATTGCTTGAGCCTAGGAGTTTGTGGCCAGCCTGGGCAACATAACAAAGCCTCGTCTCTACAAAAAAATAAAAAAATTAGCTGGGTGTGATGGTGAGCACCTGCAGTCCCAGCTACTGGGGACGCTGAGGCAGAAGGATCGCTGGAGCCCAGGAGGTTAAGGCTGCGGTGAGCTATGATTGTGCCACTGCACTCCAGCCTTTTTGGCAGAGTGAGACTCTTGACATATATTACAATATTAGATTATTATACATACTGTAATGTATATTCTATATTTCTCTAATGACTTAATTAGATTTGGGTCCAGTTTCCTTATTGCCTCACATCAGGATGCAGTCACATTTGTGATAAGATTGGCTAGCTGGGTATATAGACCCAACAAGAAGGAGTACATATGCCCACCAAAAGACTCAAGCCAGTAGTGTGTAGTAGCTTTATTCATAATTGCCAAATGTCCATCAGCAGTAGAGTGGGTAAATAAATTGTATTTGTAAATGAAGGAGTACTGTATAGCAATAAAAGGAACAAAGTAACTGATAGATACAACAGTATTCATGTTTCTCACAGAAATAATGTTGAATGAATAGAGTTAACACAATAGAAAGCAAACCGAATGATTTCAGATATAAGAAATTCAAAAATAAGCAAAATTGATATTTTTTAAACATAACAGTGAACCAGTATTTTAAACAACCAGTGAAACAGTATTACCTATTAAAAAAGTCTTTTTCCCACAAAAGATTAAGATAGCTCCTTTATCACACACTCAGTTTCCATGTATATTAGCATGTATATCTATATTTTGTTCCATTCATCGGTTTGTTCACATGTCTTTCACACTATTTTATTTATAGACATTTTATAAGTTGATTTCACCTCTGACAGGGCTAGCACCCTCCCCCCATCATTGTTCTGCCTTTTTTGTTTTTTTTTTTCTGGCTATTTTTGCTTGTCTGTTCTTCAAATTAACTTTATAATCAACTTGTCTTGCTTTAGGAATAAATAAAATCTTAGAGGTATTTTCATTAGGATTCCATTAAATTAATAGGTTATTTTAGGGAGACTGGTACCTTTAATGATTCTGCTGAAGCTTCTTTCCAGAAACATGGTATTTTTCATGTTGTCCACTTCACTTGTTTCGAGAATGTTTTATAGTTTTCCTCATGGAGATTTTGTACTTTTTTTTTTGAGTTGGAGTCTCACTCCTTCGCCCAGGCTGGAGTGCAGTGGCACGCGCACGACCACCCCAGCATTGACCTGCTGGGCTCTGGCAATCCTTCTGCCTTAGCCTTTCAAGTAGCCGGAACTATAGGCGCCCACTACCACACCCAGCTAATTTTTTAAAAGTTTATCATAGAGATGAGGTCTTACCAATTGCCCAGGCTGGTCTGGAATCCGCAGGCTCCGGCAATCCACTCGCCTCGGCCTTCCAAAGTGCTGGGATTACTGGCTGAGCCACCGAGCCCAGCCTGTTTTTACTTTTGTAGTCCTTGTTTCTTCTTACTGTTGTGTATTATATATGAAGTCTTGATTTCTGAATGTTAATTTTATATTCTACTATTTCCTGAATTTTCTTATTGTTTGGTATAGTTTTTCTATGGATTTTTTTGGGTTTTTCATTTAAGTATATTACTTGCAAATGATAGCAATAATCCCTTCTTCCCACCTCACCCCCAGTTGTTATGCTTCTGATTGCTTTCTCTTGTCTAGTTGCATTGTCCTTTACCTATGTAATGTTACAGCATAATGAAGTCCTTATTTTCTTAATTTTAGTGGGAAATCCTTTAGTGTTTCCCCATTAAAATGCTGGTTTTTAATCAGCTGGGCGTGGTAGCGCATGCCTGTAATACCAGCTACTCAGAAGGCTGAGAAAGGCTGAGGCGGAAGGATCCCCGGAGTCCAGCAGGCGAGGCTGCGGTGGCCGGGAGCAGCCACTGCACTCCGGTCTGGGCGACCGAGTGAGACTCCAACTCAAAAAAAAAAAAAAATGAAAAGTGCTGTTTTTTTTTAAACCACTATATACAAGAAATACAATTTATACATTAACTCATTGCAACTTGACAATCCAGTTTTTTTCAGTAAATGTATAGGGTTGATTTTTTTTTTTTTAGTAAGCTTATAGAGTTGTGCAGCCATCACCACAATCCAAGTAGAACATTCTCTTCATTCCAAAAAGTTCCCTGTGTCCTTTTACAGTGATTATATTTATGTTGCATGGTTTATGATGATATAGTTAGTTGTATATATTCATGTGTATGCACATACAGGTATGTCCCATATCTATATAAATATTTTTATCATTTATGGAAGTATGTATTAGTTCCTATTTCATTGTTTGTTTTAATACCAGTGAATAATGTTTTAAAATTTTCTTTTTGACATGCAGGTTTAAGTTGTAGTCTGTCTTGGCGTAGTGAAATAGAAAAGTCTTATTACAATAAATTTGGCAATATTAGAATAAAATTTTTTTCTATGAGTAAAGGAAGATGCCATTTCATATTCTGAAATGTTTTGTTCTGTGTTGTTTGTTAAAGAGGATGGCATTCCCTGTGGATATGCTGGATAATTGCAGTCATGAGGAACTGGAAAATTCTGCTGAAGATTATATGTCAGATTTAAGGTGTGGGGACCCTGAAAATCCTGAGTGCTTTTCTCTTCTCGATATTACGGTAAGGTGTTCAGTGATGTTATCCATCTTCTCAGACTGGTTAATGCAAGAAATCAATATCTTTTTTTTTCCCTGAGTTGGAGTCTCACTCTTGTCCCCCAGGCTGGAGTGCAGTGGAACACTACGGCCACCACACCCTTGACCTGCTGGGCTTAGGCGATCCTTCTGCCTCAGCCTTCCCAGACGCATGCCACCGCACGTCACCAAACGCCACCACGCCTGACTAGTTTTTTTTGTGTGATTTATTGAAGAGACAGGGTATCATTGTCCAGGCTGGTCTCCAGTCCCCGAGCTCAGGCAGTCCTCTCGCTTCGGCCTCCCAAAGTGCTGAGATTACAGGCTGAGCCACCATGCCCGGCCAATATCTTTTTTTTAAAGTCATTTTTAAGTGTTAGCCTTCTCCTTTGGAATCTTTTTCAGAAATCTATTTAGTAAAATGGTTGAAAATACTGGTTGATTCAGAGTGGCATAATCAATTTTTTTTGTGTGTGTGTGTGTCTGTGTCTCACTCTGTCACCCAGCTGGAGTGCAGTGGCACACTCATGGCCACTGCAACCTCGACCTGCTGAGCTCAGGTGATCCTTCCACCTCAGTCTTTCAGGTAGCTGAAACTACAGGCGCATGTCACCATGCTCAGCTAATTTTTTTATTTATTGTAGAGATGAAGTCTTGCCAAGTTGCCTAGGCTGGTCTCGAACCCCTGGGCTCAGGCAATCCTCTCACCTCTGCCTCCCAAAGTGCTGGGATTACAGGCATGACCGTGCCTGGCCATGATAAGTTTTTAATAAGACAAACTTGAAACTTCATAGGTTATTGCTTAATATTTGTGTTTGTCTTTAAAATTATATGTGAGATGCTCACCAGTTTTACTAAAACTGTTTTTTTAGAAGTTTTTTTGAGCTAACTCAAATTTACTTTGTATTTGGAATTTGTGAGTAGAAATTTTTTTAATTAAAAAAAGTTAGCCAAACATTAAATTATACACTTTTATGTTATTGATCTTTTCTTCCGTTTTCTAAAATAGTAAAATCAAAGTTCCTAATCAGTTAGCCATGATATATTGTGATAGAAAGATCATTAGACTTGGAATTAATAGAATTCTGCTGTTACCTGAAGTGGACAAATTCCTTAACCTCTCCAGGCCTCACATTTTTGTTCTGGAAATGATGATTTTAAAAATTTTTAAATCTTCCCCAGCCCCAATAATTCTCTGAACTGTAATTTTGTCTCCAATGGGGAATTAGTGTTGGATTAATGAAGACAAAACTGTTAAAGCACATAAATAACATGTATCTTGGGGGAAAATAAATTTGCCTAGATGCTTTTTTTAAAACTTTAAGCCCCTAAGTAGTCTAAATAACAGATGACAAAGTATAGTTGTTTTTTAAACGACTCTATGGGCTATGTCAGGGCTTTTGTTTTTATTCAGACATGTGACTAGAGCACAGTAATACTAACTGAAACTAATTTTCATTTTTTTCCCAAAGACAAAAATATTCTTCCAAAAGGGAAGTCTGTCTGATTTATTATTTTTTTAAAAAAAAACTAAAAATATTATCTCCTATGAAATGAAACTGTATAATTTTTAAAAAATATTTTATCTTAAAGATGTGGGGTACAATTCAGGATTTGGTATACAAGTGGACATCGTACAGGTAAAATTTGGGCCTTTCTTTGGTCCCCACTTTCCCTGGCTTGAGATCAGGGACGCTTGTTGTGTCATGCGCTTCCCCTGCCCAGCAGTATCCCACCACTGCCAGTCACTTTCTTATAGTATTATGGTTAAGTGTTCAGGGTCTACTTGTGAGCAAAAGCATATGGTACTCAGTTCTCTGCTCCTGTGATAGATCACTTAGTTCATCCAAGTTGCTGTGAAGTCCGTATGTTTGTCCTTCTTTATGGCTGCGAAATATTCCATTGTGTATATGCACCACAAATTTTTATCCTTTCTAGTTTCGATGGGCAGCACAGTTGGTTCCATGTTTTTGCTGTTGTGAATAGTGCTGCAATAAACATGTGTGTGCAGATATCTTTCTTGTAGAATGATCTGAGTTCCTCCAGGTATATTCCCAATTGGGGAATTGCAGGGTATTATGGAAGGTCGATTTCTAGTTCTTTTAGAAATCATCACACTGTTTTCCATAGAATTAATGTCAGAAGAGTGTAATACTTTGGTAAAAGATTGGTGTTTTTGTCATGTGTTTTCTTGACAAATTTTTCATTAATCTTTAATCAATTGTCATTTCAGATTCCTATTAGCCTGTCAAATGTAGGCTTTGTACCTCTTTATGGTGGAGATCAGACCCAGAAAATTCTTGCTCTTTTTGCACCTGAGGATTCACTGACAGGTCTCTTTTTTGCTTTATTTTTGTAAATTGAGAAATTTGTCTCTAAACTGTTAGAAATATATTAAAAAGATAGCTGTGCTGAAGGAATTTGTTTTTCATAAAACTTGTTTCAAATTGTAATTTTAGGAAAATGTAATTCTCAGTTGTTTATAATTTAATGTTTAATGGATGAAATAAAAAATGTGAGTCTATACTGTATTGTAAAGTATGAGTATATTTAAGACTATATAAGCCTTGCCAACAGTAATATTGCATACTTTAAGACTTAAGACTTCAATATTAATGATCATTTATTCTGTTTTAGCTGTGGCACTTTACCTTGCCGACCAGTGGTGGGCTATTGATGATATTGTGAAAACATCTGTCCCTTCTAGAGAGGGGCTTAAGCAGGTAACAATTCTGTAATTTTGGAAGTATTTCTTATGAGTGTTTCCTATAAACAGTGATAGATTTTAAAGTTATTGAACTATTCCCCATTTTAATATAATTAGGTTATATTAACCCCCTCAAGTTTCATTCTTATGATGATACTGGCATTCAGCTTTCTTTATTTTATGTGATTCTAAAAGTACCTGAGGATTAGGTAAAGAAGAATGAATACCTTTGGGTTAGTTGAGCTGTGATTACCTTTATCCACTGTAGGTTCTGATTTTCTTATTTGGAAGAGGAACAGCTAGTTCTCAGTGTGTCTGCTTAGCCTCTGTTTCTAGGAGAGAGTGACCAGGAAACGTGTTTATTAGCAAGGCCTCCTCAAGTGGTCTATACAGTGTTCTAAACAGTAGAGTGACCAGGTTCAGGAGAAAGCAAGCTTCCAGTTTCTGTAGGGTTACAGAAGGAGACAGCCAACTTAAGTGTGTTCCAGGAGGGAAGCTTGTTTTCATGCTAGAGGTAAAAAGAGTTTAAGAGATAGCTGATGCTCTGGTTATTAGAGGATAAATAGGATGGGTAAAATACACAGAAACCAAGACGTAAAATAGTTGGGGCAGTGCAGAATAAAAAAGTGATCAACTCTTTGGTGGCTGGGAGAGTGTGATTTTCAGTAAAAGTAGAGAGATAGGAAACTTTGACTTGGTGGAGATGCCTTCGATTTCTTCTTACTGACTTTCTGGAGAAGCAATATGATTTATTAATAGGTGTAGGGATCCCTGTTAATTAATCCTAAGAGGAAGAGTCCCTGCTTAGAGGAATAGAGTCAATGTAAGTATATACATACCCTGAATCCTTCCTTTAGAACACTTCTAGGATAGGCCAAGTCTGTAAAAACTTGTCAGTTTGCAAAGTGCCAGCTATTTCTGTTCATTTTTGTGGACAATTGAATCAATCAAAAGAAACAAGGAAAGCACATCAAGAAATCTTGAAATCTAGGATAGGAACATGAGAAACTTTCAGATTACTGTAATGCTTTTATTTATTCCCCTTGAGTTTGGAACTTTGAAAAAGGTAGGAGGATATGAGAATAATACACTGCATATTGTTACTTCTGGTTATTGTATTAATTCTCGAATGTGCCCTGAGATTCCAAAGTGGTAGGTCCATCTCCCAAGGACTAGGAGAATGTGTATACCTGGCGATCTGCCAGTCTGATAAAGAACTTTGAGAGAAAAATGAAGGGAACAGAAAATTTAAAACCCGCATAAAGCTATAAAATTGGAGGAATAGTTAGCAATAAAGGAGTAAGCCTTTTTCTCAGGAGCAATTCTGGTTACGAAAGGAAGTGTATATGTCAAGGAAGTAAACAATCTGAACAGGGATCAAGGAACTAAACATCCTGCTTAGACATGACTGACATTTGGCACATTATAGAGGACATTTGGGAGTGAAAGTCAAAGGATGGAGAAGGAGAAATCTTACTGTGGTGTTGTTTATGGCTTTTCCCACTCAAGTGAAGAAACTATGAATACAGATACAGATTGGGAAGAGAGGAGGGGTCAAAACCAAAAATAAGACTGTAACTGTTTGGACTCCTTCAGCCTTAATTACTTTTAACAACATTCCCTCCTGAGAAGTAGAGAAATTAGTGAAGGGGACCGCTATTGTAGTTAAACCCTGGCCAGTAAGGAAAATTGGTTGGTAAAGTTACAGGCAGGAGTAGCCGTTTCTATACTTAACAAACACATGACTTTGAGCAAGTACTCATTTTTATAAGCCTCCCTATACCTGAAATGTGGTGTATATGGAAGGGAACTTGGGGGGTGGCGGGGATAGGCTTTATGTATAGAACTCTTGTTTTTAGCAGTGAAAGATATCTCTGGGGAAAAACCTGTTTGATGTCAGAAAGTTGGGGTGTTGGCGGGGTCCCTTTGACCATGCAGTCTTGTGGGTGAGAAGTGGGGCTCTGATTTCATTCTTTTATGACTGCCCTGAGTGTTTTTTTACTAGACTTCCTTGGTGTCACTGGCCTCTCTCATGTAGTCTGGAAGAGGGATGTGTATGGGGGGTATCACGTTCCTTACACTTAGCAGCATGACAGGGCTGTTAAATGAACGTTTTATCCAGGAAAGATGAGACAGATTTCTTTTCCCAAGAGCATAATTATGGCTCCCTTTGTCACATAAGGTTCTTAAAGTCTTCAGGGTGTAACACGAAGCTTCCTTTTTTTTTAAATGTGGAGGCAGGAATGGGGTGAAAAAGAATTGAAGTAGTAGAAGCTCCAGTTAGGGAGACGCTGGATCTGGGCAGTTGGAAGCAGAAAGAAGACACCAAGTGTGGAAAGAGATGCTGGGAGGTGGTATGAGGGGACCAGTTCTGCCTGCTTTCGAATTTTGCTGGAGGCAGCGTTCCTTGCACAGTGTGTGTCTCTAGAAGAGGACTGCAATGGGCACGAATGATTTGTCTTTTCTCTGTGATGATAAAACGTTTTACAGATTGTTTTGAATGTATTTCAAAGTGCTTCAAATGCCAGTATGAGGTATGGGAGCAGGGAGGATGGTAGTAGCATCCCTGGATTGGTGCATATTATAACTGTTGTGCCTGGTGTTTGACTCTCTTTGTAGGTGAGCACTCTTGGGGAAAGAGTGGTTCTGTATGTGCTGAATCGCATTATTTATAGAAAACAGGAAATGGAGAGAAATGAGGTCCCATTCCTGTGTCATAGCAGTACTGATTATGCTAAGATTCTGTGGAAGAAAGGAGAGGCCATTGGGTTTTATTCAGTCAAACCTACAGGTGAGTCTTCAAAAGTTATTTCAACTATATGTTATGGACATTCCCATTTTAGATCCCCCTAAACGTGTCAATATCTCTATTAAGTTAATCTTGAGAGTGCACACTGAGGTGATTCTACTTAGTATTTCTTGGGAGTCCTTTGATTTTACTATTCCATGAAATTGAGGATTGTTAGGATGGTGTTTTGGAAAAAACAAAAAAATAAACGTTTGATCCAGAAGAAGCGTTCTCCACTCGTATGTGGAGAGAGGGTTGTATGTGGAATCTCGTCTGTATCCATCTTGCCCTCGCATTTTCCACAGTTGTTATTCACCCTGATTCCTGCTGCTGTTACTATTACTGTCTCCTTCTAAAACCCCAGTTCACCTGCAGGCCAAATGCATAGCTATTTCTGCTTAGCATAGCTGATTGATCCCCACATATTAAAGAGCAACTTGGCTACTTGCCAAGAAAAGCAAAGTGCTTTCATATGTTTAGAAAATACAATCAACTTCGAATGAAAACATTAATCTTGTTTTGGTTCTAAAAGCCACCTATGCCCTCCTCTTAAAAGATGAGTGCAACTTCGAACTTGCTTTACCTGTTCTCCCATTCATTCAGCTCCCCAGAACTACTGGAGCCAGGAAGGTCTAACCTACTTCCTTTGTGTGCACATGCACCCCACACCTTGTTACCACCAAAGGACAAAATCTGTCTTGTTTTGTACCTTAACCAAAAGACCTTTCACAGAGGATACACTTAGTTTCTTTCTTATTTTCATTTCACATCTTCCAAACGTAGCTCTCTGGTTAGATCTCATCTAAAGAGCATACCAGATTCACCACTGATTTGAAGAACAGTTGTGACTGATGCCTTGATCCGAAAACTAGTACATATTTGTGATGAGAACTAATACGTACAGTCAATAAAAGGAAGGTCATTTTTCCAAGAATAAAAAACTGATGTATAGTTTTAAGTGGTTTTTCTTTTTAGTAAATACTTTGAGTTTCCTTTAATATACTATTTTGTTCTTGTATAAATTTGAAATTTATGTAATTTATGTCACTTCAGAAAGATATTTATTATACTTGGGGAGAAAAAATGTTCAATGGACATTTAGTGCTACAGTGGATGAAAGACATCACTTTGTTGTTTTAAATGTTTTAATGTTTGGAGTTGGGTTGTGAGGTAATTGCTTTATGCTTCATTTTTATACAAGGTAATTTTATGGGAATTGGAGCTTTTTGTTTCTCACATTGGCTTTAGGGGAGTTTCCTACCTGAAACTAGCTTATAGATATTTGAAGCACTTACTAGTTTGTTTATTACTTTTGACTGAGGGCTGTGCTTTCTAGGAAAGAGACATAGATAAAAAGCACAGCATTCCCTTTTAGTATTTCTGATTAGGATAGGACTCCAGGAGTTTGCTTCTTTTCTTTTTATGTGCGTCTTGGGAATCTTCCTCCTCTGGCACCTGGCTGCTCTTTTTGCTTGTTCTGGTAGTACACTCTATTTTATATCCTTGAACTTCCAGATGCTACTGTATCTACCACTTTTAGCACCTTCTGTACTTTTCTACTAGTTGCTTTACATCTTTGCTTAAACATTTTTTTTTTCTTTTTTTTCTTTGGTAGAGATGGGGGTGGGGGCATCTTGCTATGTTGCACAGGCTTGTCTTGAATTCCTGGCCTCAAGCAATCCTTCTGCCTCGGCTTTCTCAGCCACCAGATATCAGTGGAGTTTGATGTGCTTTTACTAGCCTTTGAATCCGTAGCCATTTAATTCAGTCTGGAAGTACTTTTTCCACCATGGAAACCCAACATAATTAAAATATAGAGAAATTTTCCAAGACAGGTGCTAAAATTCTTGTGATTGAAGTATTTCTGAGATATATACTTTACATATACATATATAGATTTCTGATATATAGTAAGTTCCCTGCATACGAATGTGTTTCGTTCTGAGAGCACATTTGTGTGTGTGGGTGTTTACACACTCACACGCTCGAGGGGGAACCCAAAAAGTCCAGAATTTATTTGTAGAAAACTGTTTATTTGTTTTTACATGTTTAAACTTTAGTCACCTTCAAAGTACTCTCTGCTTAATGCAGTAATACACATATCGAGACGCTTTTTCCACTGCTTAAAGCAGTTTCTGAACTTGTTCATTTTGATGCCTTTTAGTGCTTCTGCTGTTTTTGGTTTCACTTTTTCTACATTGGCAAAATGTTTCCCTTTGAGGACTTTTTTCATCCAGAAATGCAAAAAAAAGTCACTCGGGGTGAGATTGGGTGAATAGGGAGGGTGGGACATGGGGTCAAGTGGTTTTTGGTCAAAAATTGCTGAATACTTAGTGAAGTGTAGACAGGTGTGCTTGCAAATCACCCATCATGAAATGGGCAAACACACTGAGGGAATCTCCAGAAAAATTCACTGAAGCCGAATGCAGCCTCCCAAAACAGTGCGAGCTGGCGTGCTGATGCTGATGGGTTCTTAGAGCACTTGCCTAGCGAGGGAAGCCTGTACTATGAGAGGCCTACCTACTGAAAAATAACTCCAGATTTTTTTGGATCCCCCCTTGTGTATGTAGGCACATATATATATTATGTGGAAGAAACTGTACTGGTAGCAAAAATACAAAATCTGTGTTAAGCAGATTTGTAGTTGAATGTAAGTCTTGTGAAATCATTTATTATTTATGATTTTTCAGTTAAATAGCAAATCAGTTTATGGGGCTCTTATAATTTGTTTTTTGGGTTAGGTAGATAGTCTTGTTATAAAGATATTTGTGTTTTTTTCCTACTCTGTTACTTTAATGTAATGAATTCAGTAGTTTATTTCCTGCTTATTCATATAATCTTATACTTTTAAAAACCTTTTCAGAAACACCAAATGTTTCAGACTGGTCTTTCAAATGAAGTAAAAATTTTTTTCCAATAAAGTAATGCTTGCTTTGCAGTTAAAGGGGGGCTTCAGGAAATAATTATTAGAAGTTCCTAAATGTATCTTAATTTATTGGTAAAATAAGTTTTCATTTCTTTGATCAGCAGTTTTTTACTTACTGTAACTGATTCTTTCGTACAATAATTTTGAAAAAGAACTTGAGAGTGAGATTGAAGGTATCATCACTGGGTTATTCTTGAGATCTTCTGTTCACATCTCATAATGTCTGTGGTGATGATGGTTGGTTCAGATCTGTGCTTAAGCTCTAGGGAGGTTGGGGAACACAGAAAGAAAATGATTCATAACTTTACAAGTACCACTCCCCTCACAAGTCCAGGAAAGTGAAAGGATTCACAAAAAATTTGAAAATAGATGAGGTTGAGTATCTCTAATCTGAAAACTCGAAATCCGAGATGCTCCAGAATTTAAAACTTTTTGGAGCACTCACAAAAAGTTCATTGGAGTGTTCAGATTTTGAATTTTTTCTTTTGAGTTGGAGTCTCACTCGGTCGCCCAGACTGGAGTGCAGTGGCCGCTCCTGGCCACCGCAGCCTCGCCTGCTGGGCTCCGGCGATCCTTCCGCCTCCGCCTTCCGAGTAGCAGGAATTACAGGCGCGCGCTACCACGCTCGGCTGATTTTTTATTTATTGTCGAGATGAGGTCTCGCTGCCCAGGCGGGTCTCGAACCCGCGGGCTCAGGCAGTCCACTCACCTCTAGATGTTGAATTTTTGTATTAGGGACACTCAGCCGGTAAGGATAACACAAATATTCCAAAATCCAAAAATAATGTAAACTCCAAAGCTCTTCTGGTCCTAAGCATTTTGGATAAGGGGATTCAACTTGCGCTTTAGTTATTCTCTGTGCGTTTTCCTTTCTTTTTTTTTCCGGTACAGGAGACTTTATTGATGGTACATGGCAGGGCGGGGCTCGCTAGGTCTGCGTTCTTCAGGGTGTCTGGCGTGGACAGTGCAGGGGGAGGTTCTCAGGTTCCCAGTGTGGTCGGGGCGCCCCAGCAGCCGAGCGCTCCTCGCTCCGCTCCTGATCGCGCTGGGGCTGGGGCTGCGGGGCCCTCCCTCCTCGGAGGCCCTGTGGCCATGCGGTCGGCCACCCTGTTGCGGTAGCCAGGTTCGTGTCATCCCAAGAGACGAGCTGGCCGAGTGGTCGCTGAGGGCGATGCCGGCCGCGCGTCGCCGGTGG